ATGATAATAATAATAATATTAATTTAACGAACCGTACGTTGTTTCACCAACACCAAGGCTATGAATAATAAAACTTGTGGGACACAAGATTGTAGTAATAATATACAAGGATAGAACTGACTAGTTTGGGTACAAAACTTTAACCGATGTTTTCGGATACAAGACTTTAACGGACTTGTTATTTTGGGTATAAACTATAAAGAATAATTTGTTATTAATTGGGCACGAGACAATAAGGCATGTGTTATTTATTGGGCACATGGCTATGATTTGTTTGTATTTGTAAGTGTTCTACGGCGCTCGCAACTGCATAAAGTCATATGAGCGCACGAGACACTAAACATGTTCAGTTTTTTTGCCCTTATCCGAGAAGGCTAGGTGCAGAACTTTCCTACCTGAAGATCAGGAGTGTGGCTGTAAGACAGCAGTAAGAAGGAGCCATTATGGAGTAGCAGTAGAAAGGCTGCAGAAAGAGTAAGAAGCCCAGAGGAGGGGGCAAAGGAGGTGAGTGGGTGAGGGCAGAAAGAGGAGAAGAAAGAAGACGACAGAACATCGCAAGACAACAGGAAAGGAGGTGAAAGAAGACAATTTTAGAGAAGAAAAAAATATATTTCCGTCGCAACCCGGAGTCGAAGACGGGACCGTTGAATGAGAGGCGAGCACCGTAACCCCTAGGCCACGAGAGCCCCCTACAAGGCTATAACTAACTTTTTTTTAAACTAGCTTGTCGTTTAGATAGACAAAGCTATACCTACTTGTTGTTTGGATGGAAACAAAATTATATATACATTTGTTAAGATTCACGTAACTTATTGGTACACCATACTTTAACTAGTTACGTTTCTCCTGACTATCTCTCACCGTTACAGAACTGTCCCGTGTAATTTGCTGTACAAAGACACTGGATTGCTCCCACAGCAGAATCAAAAATGCACGTTCCACCGTTATAACATGGCTTGGGCAGGCACTAAAACAGAAAGGGTGCACATAAAAAGGCGGGGGTGGGGGTGGGGGAAGAGATGGTAGTTATGAGAAATGCACACATACACGTGTGCAAGTACTTACGCTTTCATAGTGGAAACACACACAC